AATTTTTATTTCATAATTCGATAGAACTCACCCAAACTAGCTCACCACCGCAAACCGTTTCTTGCTGTGAGCTCCCTACGTTTTATAAAAAATTATTGAAATCCCCGATTTTTTGGACCTCTGAAAACGAGGCGATGATGTGACGTCAAAACCCTAATACTGAAACAAGACTATTCCAGACAGAGATGAATGATACATTATTTCTGACATAGTGAATTAGCGCGAGATCACAGTTGAAAGAATTAATATATCAGTTGCCTCAGTCTCCGTCGAGCGTTTGGTATTTTCTTTTAACTATGGCGAGATGAGGTTTCTAGTAGTTTCTACGTCATAAGGGAGTCCGTTTTCAAAAGGTACTATTATTTATGTCCAAAAATAAAACATTTAACATAAATCCGTATAATCATGGTAACTTGTTCAGTAGGAAGGTATGCCAAAAAAACCTCATATTGTTGATGTAATCGAGGTTCGTCATATTTCAAAAGGAATAAATAACGATCTTGTTCTTCCAAGGTTTTATTGTCCTAATTTGAATAAAATTGATATATGCCAACATATATAGGTATATATATTTATATAATATGATGCAGACAAAGAAACTGTTATTTCAAGTTCACTGAATCATCACCTTTTATAGAATATTACATTATATATCATAATATGCCCATTATAAAAATATTATGTCTATATAGATGTAAACAAATCGATTAATTTTTCTAATTTTCGTGAGCAATTACATGAAACTGCGAATAGTCTTCCATAATTGAGTCCATAATATATGAGGAGGTATCTGTGATATTTGATAACAATTCGACGTGATTTGTGTTAGTTATCCGTACTGAAAACTTCATAGAGACCTTGATAAAACTAAAAATAACTATTCACACGTAAAATATATCGGATTTCGTGAATAATTAATTCGACAACAGCAAATGACAGTTGTCAACTCACTCTGCGCGCGGACCAGTGTTGCCAGTTCATTTCATCAGTAAATACTCTGTCAAGAATTCAGATCTATTTTATGCTATATGAATTTCAAGAAAGGATAATGAAATTAACCAATGACGTCAAAACATCATCTTTTGAAAAGTTCTTGGGAATACTTCCATTGGCAAAAAAATTCCAAAGCATTGTACAGGGTCTTCACTTATATTTTGAACTTTACTTCTTTATATATTGTTCAATTCTTTTTCAAGGAACGTTTTTTATATTTTTTCCTATAGATTTCATATATGCTAAAAGAAAAACTGTTGAACATCTCAAAAAATTCTTATGGGCAACATTTATAATTTTTTCAATAGGACACCCTGTATTTTATTGCATTTTTAGATTCTCCCAGGAGAGATGATTTCATCGATCTGTGTGCTCTAGCTGAAATGATTACAGAGATATAGGGTGTGAAAGATTGAGATTTTTTTTAATTTAAGAATTTTTTGTGTCGGAACTGTGAATTTTCACAACCCTGTATTCGTTTCAATTTAATGTCAGTAGATATTACATCAAAAGTTAAGATAGGGACATGAAAACCGTTTTGGCCAATATTTTCGACAAAAATTCCTAAAGTTGAAAAAATCTCAATCTTTCACTCCCTATATCTCTGTAATCATTTCAGCTAGACCCCAACTGTGTTAGATCGATGAAATCAGCTCTCCAGAGAGAATCTAAAAATGCAATACAATACAGTTATTGAGAAAAATTATAAATGTTGCCCATAAGAATTTTTTGAGATGTTCATCAACTGCTTTCATGTTGGCATAAAATATATGAAATCTACAGGAAAAAATATAAAAGAACATCCCTTGAAAAAAAAAATTAACAATACATAAAAAAGTTAAGTGGGGGTTCAAAATATACGTGGACCCTGTACGTTTAAATTCGCCACACCGCCACTGGTTATAGTAAAATGGCGGGTAAACGCAGACATTTCTTTGATATGGTAACTTAAACCTACTCTATATGGACAACAAATTCATTCCAAATTTAGAATACCATCTGCAAAACAGGTATTTCATTATCTAACAACCTTACCATCCAAAGACAACATATCCGCGACCGTACGAAACATCTTCGGGGACACAGGCGTAGGTGGATGGGGGTACGGTAGGGGGATAGATACATCCCAGAACTGAACTACATCAGTATTCACCATATTCTCAGAAAATAGAAATAACATGCTCACTTTTTGGATATTCAACAGATATAATTCAAAGTTCTTCATGGCAAATAGCCAGGAAAGTAGTTGTTTTCTGTTGACTATTCAGAATGATATTATGTACATATCTTTATATGAAGGAGAATGCAAATTCTCTACTTCATAATATTTTGTTTTCAAATCCTTATCGTGTATGTTCAATAGATGTGATTCAATGTTCGTCGTGGCATATGGCCAGGAAAGTAATTGTTTTCTGTTTATGTTCATAATTATATCTGAGAATATTCCTTTTCAATACTTCATATTGTGAGTTGTTCGGTTGGCTTCAGATATCAAACGTGAATGAAGTCAATGCCACTGTCAAAATTATTGTATTTTTCTCAGATCAAGAACTTTTGATTGATTAATTATCGAAAGTAAGGACAAAAACAGCTTCTTGGAACCTCCTTTCTCAAACTAATTATAATTGACTTCGACAAAAGACGATGCATTCGACAAAAAAGGCCATTGAACAAATAGTAAAAAAATAACTAACCAAGATGAATCTTGCAAACATAGACTAATTGCAAGATGTATCTATCAATTATAGCTCAAACTGCAAACTCTAGAGAATAACAATTCAATATCAGAATCAGTTTATCATAATTTCATAAAAATGGCTATGATGGCAACATTCCTACATGTTTTAGTGGATCTGGACACGCTTATAGTATTCAGAGCTTGATTGCAAGATACTTGCAATTATGATAATTGCCAGATGAATCTGTGCTCTAATTCGGAACGTATTATTAAAATTATCATTATCACTATTATTTTGTGTTATACTTATTTTGTGTGCTGCTTTGTTGACTTGTCCTATAACTCTTGTGAGTTCCAAAGGATTAATAAATTGATTGATTGATTGATTCATTGACCAATTAGAGCTCGTGCGAGAATTGTTGCACTGAGCTCTAAACTATGTGAACCAGTTTTCCGATGGAATTCAAAACCCGACACCAGTTTGACCAACGGAATACAAAATATGCACTCAGTACGAGCGTTACCACCGATACAACAAGGCCAGCAGACTCTGACGTAAACAGCTCGTGACGTCACCAAGAGAGGCCAGTGTTTTATTTTATCGCTTGTCGACTAACGCGTCAGTTCGTGTTAATTTATCGGTGATTCACGTATGTTTTTGAAACGGTCCCGAATTCTTTTGTTGTCTATTCATCAAAATAATTGGCGGAAAAATTACTGTTTTGTGAAATATTTTGTGTTGTGATCGGCGAAATAACAATGCCTATCAAGTGTTGTGTTCCCTTTTGTCGGGGGAATTATGTCGGTGGATCAAAAGTTCATGCTATAGTTTCCCGTTGGACGAGGAGCTATCGAAAATGTGGGTATATGCAATTCACCGCGAGGATTTTACTCCATCTAAGTTCAGTAGTAAACAGAGCTTAATTTAAAATGATGAATAAATAATAGAAGACAATTACTCTCTCATAAAAAGTATAAGTAGAGGAAAAATAGAAAATCTTTGATTGTGCAGTTAGTTTTGTATTCGTATATTATAGTCAACAAAATCATCTCTGAATTCGAGAAAATTTTCTTGAATGTTCATAATAAACGGGCATTTTTGATTCTCATTCTCAAATTTCTTTCTGAAAACGGTCATTTGCCTCGTGGTAATAAATGCAGAATTCATTCAAATGATCAAATTGCAACTATCATATTAACATGAACTACAAACACTCTACTTAAAAAGGTAAAACTGCATTCATCATGATATTTATCATGAAAATATTTGACTAAAAAGTTCCAAATTTCACCTTCTTTTTCACCTGTCTTCTGGATGGCATTTAGAACAAATTTCCCTTCTTTTTTCATCATATTGGACAATTTATATATAATTCAACTATGAATATGATTTTCATATTAATCCATATTTAGTGAAAAGAAGGAAGAATATCATTCAAAATAATGGCGTGTGTAATGTCATTCGAAAGCAATGACAAAATAAGAGCAAGTAGCTTCAAATGCCCCCAACACAAGGGGAGAAAGAAGGCGAAATTTCGAACTTTTTCTTGAAATATCTCAATAAATAGTGGTTTGTTCACATTTTCATTATAAAATTCGGTTTATCAGACTAAAATACGTGAGTACCGAAAAAAATTTAAAAAAAAAGAACCATCGCATGATAAATGCAGTTTTACCCTTAAAAATTACGGTTTCAAGTGTAACGATCCACTTGAGTGAAAAATCCAACAACAGAAAATTGAAAACACTCACTGGTTATTTTTTCAGGTAATAGGAATTCTCCAAGATGAATATAGGTAATTGTAACAAACGGCATGTCAATCAAAATAAAGTACATTTTCCACAATTTTCTTTCGATCAATCTCACGATAAGTTTATGTTCTGCGGGCCCTTTATAAGTAGGTGTGAAGTTAACCTTCACCACAATTTTTGACAATATACTCAATTCGAATGGGTTGCTGTAGATGGATATTTGTGTTTTATCCTGGTTTTTGCTTTAAAACTTCGTTTTTCCATAATAAAATCGAATGGGGTGCGAAGAAGGGCTCAGTTGACGACTGGCATCCTTTTTTAACCGGAAGCCCTTCAAAAAACAGCAAAATTGGCTCAATGATGATCTAAAACTAAAATCGAAATACGCGGTCGCCTTATAGCGCTATAAGCGCTTGTCGTTTCGAGCCGCTGGTTAGGCCTCACTAAGTGACGTCACCCACGGAGCATGCAGGCCTTGTTGTATCGGTGGTAACGGTACGAGCCAGTTTTACCGATGAAATTCGCTATAACATTTCATTCCACTTTGAGAAATGTAGCTATTTCGTAGTTGATATGTATGTCCGTTTGGAGCCATAGTGAATCCTCCGCCTTTGGCTGCAGATCGAGAATCGAGTATCCTTCAGATAGCCCCCCACCCCCCCCCCTTGGCAAGCCTGGCAGCCCCCCGCAAAGGACATCCTTTCACTCTTCGCCGGCGAAGACCATCTTCGTGGAAGAATGGAAGATGCATCTTTGCGGATCCTTATGGGGCTCTTCAGTCGCATTTCGACTTGCAGACATGAAGGGTGCGAGTGTTTTGTTTTTGCTAGGTGAGTTCTGTGATTGGTCGGTCGGTTCATGTGGAGATATTATGTGGATTACGAAATGTTCTTGGTGACACAATTTTTTTTATACAAATTTTTCATTATATGCAAACACACATTCACATATTTTAACACGCGAGTATAGTAGGTAACTTTAGATATTTTCTGTACATCAAGTCGAATGAAGTGTAGATTTTCGTGCGAATTGCGAGATATTGACATCTCATCAACAATAATAACAATATTCTACCAATTCTCAGTGATCAGATACTGTCTGTAGGTTAATCGAGGAGGTGATACATTCATTATTCCAGATTTTTTTGGGAATTTCGCTCCTCGACTCTATGAAAAAAAATATAAATATTATTTCAATATACGCGTAATGAGGACAAATCAGATGATTTGCCCCAAAATGTCACTGCGTTTAAAGAATTTTCCTATCAGAGAGCCTACAAGAAAAATTCACTAGCTTGTCAGGGACAATTTGTATATTGAAAAAGGGTTGGAGAAGAGAAATAAAGGTATATAGAAAAAATATGAAATTTTCACTTATCTTTGGACGTTTCGGGAACGAATACAATATAAAGAAAAGACACATCGACAAATCGAAACTAGCTGAACATATCCTTACTGAAGATGGACAACATATGGCAGAGTGGAATACTATTAAAATCATTGGAAAAGAAGATAACAACCAGAAGAGTAAAATCAAGAAATCTGCTTGCATTCTTCTGAACGGAGACAATAGCATTGCTTCCTGTTCAGTTGATATAGATAGAACGGGGTATTCACTACTGAAATCTAAAAATGAAAACAGTAAATTCAAGATTAATTAATGAAAACATCCTGTAACTCATTTGATTACCGCAACGTCACCAATTATTGTCAATGAGAACCGAGAAGTGTCAAGACAAATACGAATTTGCCATACAAAAAATCCATTTTTTATGTTGAAAACGGGAGTAGATTCGATCCCGATACTTCCAAAGATAAGTGAAAATTTGATATTTTTTCTATATACCTTTATTTCTCTTCTCCAAACATTTTTCAATACAAATTGTCACTGACAAGCCAGTGAATTTTTCTTTTAGGCTCTCTGATAGGAAAATTCTTTAAACACAGTGACATCTTGGGGCAAATTATCTGATTTGTCCTCACTACACGTATATCGAGATAGTATTCATATTGTTATTTTATAGAAACGAGGAATGTAAATCCCAACAAAATCTGGAATAACCCAATGATCAGCTTGGACGAAATTCATATACAGTTCGGCTCGAAAAAGAGATTGTGCTCTTTGATCTATATGAAACGACTGGACCTAGAAAATTTTGCATAACAGATAATTTCATTTTGGATAGTGACAACTACTGACTGATTGCACTCTCAATGGTCTCCAGAGTGTCTAGTCTGGACATGAGATGTTGAAATTCCAGGACTATTTAGATAGATTTCGCCGGACATCTTCCGGTAGTCAGACTATACATGTTTTGGTTTCTGAAAATATAGATGACGTTTTTTAACTATTCAAACTTCAGAATTGATAAAAATGTTGAGTATTTTTCTGATTTCTCTGTTCGAATTTTTGGAATCGCAGTAAAAATGGGAGTTTTCAACAAAATGTGGATTCACAATTGAATTTGCAAATCCTCAGGAAATATAAGTAACTTCTCAAGAATATCTACTTATTCTCATAGAAAAATGGTGGATGAAGTGAGAACATCAAAATCATTTCAATGAAAATATTGTACTTGGCTAGATACATATACATCATTTGTTCATTATTTGGACTTATACATAGTTATACACAACCATTTTTGAAATTGATAGAGATAGCCTAGTTTCAATGAACTTTTGTCCAAACACCCGTGGTTTTTATGATAACTACAGGATTTTAGTAACACTATCAATTTTTCAGCACACCCTGTATAATTGAACCAAAATCTTTTCAGGGATATAGGGTGCATTTAAGTTTCATTAGATTTGACAGAAATATCTGAGCAAATAATAAGTAGGTAGGTACCCAAATAAAATAATTCATTTCTAGTTTTTATTTATTCGAGGTCGTAAACAAAAACAGTTATTTTTATATTTAATTCATCTGTGAAACAGTGCAAGTATGGCGAATAGAATGCAGGAGTTCTGAGCTGAGTTGGCATTTGAAACGTCACTGGTATAATTAATGGAGTTCTTACTTTACCTCATTGCGAAGTATTCTATAGTTATGAATAAAATAGATCGAAATACGCTTATTACCTAGAAATTATCATTATTATCAGTTATTATCATTATCATTATCCATGTCGAATGATTTCCCCCTGAGATATAAACTTTCGGGAACAGGCTTTTTTGCTGAATAATTTATTAAGGGTATTTGGTATCGAATAAGACAACCTGTATATATTATCGATTAGAACATACTATGAATGTCATACTCAAACTTTTTTCAATATTTGTCTGATTACCTACTGTTAATACTGGGTTACGAAATAGCTCTTCGATTATTGTATGTAAGTGTTTATTACATAATGAATTTCACACATCATACAGAAGACATACCATACCCTTTTATTACAACTACAATAAGAAATCATCTTGTTCACACAATGGAATTTTCAGTAGTAATGACGTAGATATGCAATCTCGTATGAATTCATCAGTATAGAAAGTTATTTGATTGAAATAAAAGAGTCAATTGAACCAAATCAATAATAACGCTTGCATATATCTTTCTTCTATCACACAGATTTTAGGATCAAACTTGTGACCACCGTATGCGAATTTATTTTTTTCGTGGACCTCTACAAAAAATCACATTTTACGTTCTAATTTCCAGACGAAAAACCGACTATTTCCGAAGACAACAACACGACACCCTCTCGAAATATTTTGGTGACCTCGACATTTTTTCAATTAGGCTGTGCCTCGTTAAAAAAATCAGTTCTTGATCACCGAATTTGCATTTCGCGCAATAGATACAAAATTAACTTATTTTCATATTTTGGCGAAAGGGCTACAATGCGAAGAAAAGTGTTTAAGTTTTGGCGAAGGATTATGGTTCCTTCGTCAAAACATGAAAAGAAACGAATTTATATTTTTCAACAGGCAAAATCATACTCCAATGATCCAACACACTATTTTCAACATTCTCTCTAATTAATAATGTTCTTATTTTATTTAAAAAGTATCGTCTGATTCTTCAAAAATCCTTTTTTCGAAAAGTGGTTGTCAAAATATGGTTGCCATTTGAAAAATAATAGTTAGACACGGAAATGTGATTTTGTCAACTTGTCTCCTTCCTATCTATCATTCTAGTTACTAAAACTCTACGAGTATAGTTTTCTGACATCACCTGAGGTCTCTAGATCCACCCAGATGCAATAATAAAAGTGACTCTAAAAACATGAAGTAGGTGTAAAAATTTCTGAAAATGTCATATTCTGATCCAAAATTGTCTCAGGTATTCGAAAATCTTGTAATATACAGAGTGTTCTATTTAAAAATGCAATGCCGGTGCCATTTACGGTGAAACCAGAAATGACCGGGAAGTGAAAAATATGCGAAAATTTTCCTAATCACATACCAAGTTTAGTTTATGCAAAGTCAATTGAACAGATCTTCAAACGAATGTCGGGCAGCGCTGCCGCACTCTTTGAACTTTCAAAGGAACCGACGGTTTGCGGTGATCTGTTTTTCCAACTGACTTTGCACAAACTATACCCATATTGAATTTCATTTTGATATACGCATATTCTAGAAGTTATGGCTTCTCTAATAGACTAGTTGACACCCGGTCGTATATAGACTTCAATTTTTTTTCATATCTTTCAGGCTTATGCCTCAACTGGGCAGATGCCCAATTCCTGAACAACAGGCCCCACCCCACTTACAGCTTGGAGAATATGCCCAAAACCGATTTTTCGTGCAGGGATAAAATTTTGGGGGGGTACTACGCAGATGCTGAAACGAATTGTCAGATGTTTCACATATGTGTGAAAGTGGCTGGAATTGGGGTGAGTGTCTTATTTCATCTAGATATACTTAGGACATGCAAAACTTCCTTGACATCTAAATTAAATGAGCACAGTTGGTAGTTCGCGGTCAGATACTTGGAATTTTTGCAAAAAAAAAACTCGGTATGATCCTCATGTGATGTTTTTTTGCGATTTTCATTAATTTTTACATTTTTTAACTTTCAACTTGCTTCGTTATAGAGTAAGAAATACAAAACCATACCTCGGAACATCTCTGAACTCCATGAAGAAATATCAGAATGTTTTAGAATTATCTATTGATTCATCGCAGTGTATTTATTTATGACAGCAATATGAATAATGAACATACCTTTAAACACCTTAGCAACAGATATATTTGAGGAAAATGAATATTGATACATCGATAGGCATGTTCAGGATATGTTTAGATGCTATAACATTCAATTAAGCAACTTTAGTTTTTCGAGAGGTCATAGTTCATTCGTTGAATAACACATTTATTACATTCAGTTCGGACTCAAAGGTTCAGGTAAACATTTGCATAGTATCTACATATCAAATAGAGTTTGAATTGTAAAAAGTTGTTACTTTAATTGTTTTGTCAATGAGAATGTTTACTAAAAAAATTGAGGATATTTAATAACACCATATTACATGATATTATTAAAGACTTTCTTTTTCGGTACGTATACAGATGTTATTCAACAGATATTTCAAATATTGTGATAATAAGTTAATGATTGAGAAGGATTATCAAAGGTGATACCAGGTGTCGTTCAAATGTTATCGATATTTTTTTCTTTTCCACTTCGCAAAAATATGAAAACAAAACGACTGATGAATTCGGTACTTTTTGACGCTTCGCGATGTCTTTATTACGTATTTCAATTTCAAACAACCATTTCGTAAGTGGAGTTGGTATATGTAATGGTCTGCAAACATAATTTTTCGCAAGTTTTATGCAAATTTCCATCATTTGTCGAGCTTATATTCTCGGAGTCTATTCTTCATTAACGGTTTATCGGCCAAGGCAAAGCCTTAACATTATGTACACTCACTCACAGGATGAACATTGTAAATTGTTCGAGTATCATGTTAACAAGAAACGGAGATGTGCATAAAATATGGATATCCTTTCACGATAATGCCTCATTTTATGAAGACATCCATCAATAACCAAGACATCCAGAATGAAGACAATTAGTTTCATTGATATGGTTATGAGATTGTTATTAAATTAACTCTATTCGCTTGGATGGTCTTCATCGCCGTTGATGATGAATGTATGTACTTTATACGGTAATGATAGATCATGATCTCATGATCATTTGTAATGAGTCCGGAAAGAGCATCTTTACGTGACGCGATCTCTAAGTCCTCTTCAGGGGTATGTCTACAGTGTGTCCCACTTTGAGCAGTAGTTTTTCCTTCGATCCAGAAACTAGAAAAATGTACCTTTGAACACGACTGACTATACTTCAGAGTACTTTTCCCTCTCCTCTCTATAAATATCCATTATTCAATTGCTCTATGCTCTGTTGATTGATATAATACAGGGTGCTACAGAGTTGTAATGACAGAAGGCTAGGAGAGATTCTGCTCAGTTTAAACATTTATTTTCTCCTCATGTATATCTTATTACATGGCCAACAATGTCAGTTGAGTAGTAATATCAGGCATTTTTAAGCGATGATATGCATGCAAATTTGATCTCCGTCTTGAATAACAGATTTTTCAATTATAACCGGCCTCTGGTTATTTTGTTCTTGTGTAGATGTAGATAAAAATTTATTGTTTTAACGATGCCACAAGGCCGTATTTCTTCACTTCCATGAATAATTCAATTATTAAAGAAATAGCGCAACAAAAGCAAAGAAAACAATGGACGAGTAGAAGTAACTCCTCCGCTTGCAAAATCTATCTAAGGGCAACAATGATCAACGCTTTAATGCAAATTATAAAATGCTATTTTAATGACAACGGAATAACTGTATAATTGTCATGAATTTTTATATTTAGTCATCCGTACCACAGATGACTAATATGTATACAGGGTATCTGCAGATAAAAATTGGAACAAAATGTTAAAAATTTTTTGGTTCACGTTTTATCAAATTTTTAAGGAGTATTTCCGGATATTATATTTTGAAATCAATGAGGAGAGAAAATTCCAAAAAATCTGGAGAAATTAAAATAAATATGGCTCTACCTATACATATACAGGGTGATCCACGGTGGAAGGCCTATACGAAAAAACAGAATAGTCTGAAAATTGGGATGCTTTGATAATTGAACATTCTCTACCCGTCTAAAATATTTTCATCGATACAGTGTTGCCACTTCTATCAGAAACAACTAGTAACTTCGTTATTTTAAATGGAGCACCTTGTATTTTATTGCATTTTTAGATTCTTCCTAAAGAGCTGATTTCATCAATGTATTACACTTGGGGTCTAGCAGGAATGATTACAGAGATATAGGGTGTTCAAAATCGAGATTTTTCAATTTTAGGATTTTTTTGTGCCGAAACTATTCATTATCGATCAAAACGGCTCACATATCCATATCTTAACTTTCGATTCACTATCTACTGACATTCAATTGGAACAGATACAGGGTGATCAGAATTCTGAATCTTGAAGCACCCTGTATTTTTTCCAATTAAATTCCAGTAGATAGTGAATCAAAAGTTAAGATAGGGACATGTGAGCCGTTTCGATCGATAATGAATAGTTTCGACACAAAAAAATCCTAAAATAGAAAAATCTCGATTTTGAACATCCTATATCGCTGTAATCATTCCTGCTAGACCCCAAGTATGATGCATTGATGAAATCAGCTCTTCAGGTAGAATCAAAAAATGCAATAAAATACAGGGTGTTCCATTTGAAATAACAAAGTTGCTAGTTGTTTCTGATAGAAGTGGCAACACTGTATCGATGAAAATATTTCAGACGGATAGAGAATGTTCAATTATCAGAGCATCCCGATTTTCAGAATGTTCTGTCTTTTCGTTCTCCAGATACTTCTAACAGGCCATCCACCGTGGATCACCCGGTATAATTCAAAAACTGAAAATGACACATCGAATTTCCTTGCAGATAAATGTTCAACATGGAAATGCGCAACTTTCCCCTAATTTAACCGACCTCGTATCTCTTATAATAACTGAGATCCCCATGCTGGAGCTCGAAAAACGGACACCCTGTATATACATTTATATTTTATGTTGGGTCAATAATGGAGTATTCTGGATCTCTCCGAAGTGATCCTCAATTTTATTAACATTTGCATTTTTTCCAGGTCCAAGACTTTAGATTCTTGTGCCCGAATGGTACTGCTTTCGATCAAGATCATCAAATATGTGCCGAATGGGAGGACATTGATTGTGATGCCAGTACGTTGTATTATTCCAGTGATAACTTCGACTTATATCGTATAGGATCAGGTACGTGAATTATTATACATTTTCGATATATATCGGGTGGTCACAAAAAAAAACGGAAGTTTTTATTTTCCTCGTGGTTTCATCATTTCTCAACCGAATTCTTATTTCATGGCGTCGTTTCATAGCTAAAGGGCTATAGTATACAGTGGAATATTTGAAAATTTCATGAACAAAAACAAAATGGCGGATTCTACCAAAGTATTGTCATTTACAAAAACCGCTGGAGAAAAAGAAAATCAGATTTTTCCCAACCTGTACCGATGTTATCTTAGGCTATTCATTTCTGAAGAGAATGAGTACTCGAACATCGAAATCGAACAAATAGTCCAGTAGATACACTCATTTATTTGCAATTTGTTATGGAGTGAATGTGCTAATCTCGTATAAACGATTATTATTATTTTGCTTCAGGCTTTATGAAAATTCAATCAAATTTGGATTTCTTAGAGTTATTTCAAAGATAAAGAACTGTAGTACTCGCATAAGAAATGTGGCTATGACAGAGAGAAAAATAGCACTGTCTTACAACCATTCTATCTACACACTGAGAAAGATTTCTTAGAACAAGAATGTTTGTGTTTAGTTCATTGCATACTTTTTCTACAATCTCAAGAACTTCCAGAAACCTACAGTAGGTGGAATCTCACAGTCAGGTAATTCTTGTGAAGTGGATAAAACATTGAATGTTTGAGGTTTGCCGAGAACCAATTTTCTGCATTCGACTGTGCCTCTTTCGAAACCTCTAATACATCATATCATTTTGAAGTATAGCTAATTGTGGTGTCATCTGCTAAGAGGGTGAAATTTGCAGGTGATGAATCTATACAGGAGAAGTCATTGATTTATGTTAGAAAAAGGAGTGGTCCCAAAACTGATCAGTATTATTAGAAACAATTTATGTGATTCATGGGTCAAACGTCAGGAAGGGGGGGGGGCTTACAGCGACGCTCCTGGTTCAACATTAAACAACATTCCTCGCGACCTCGAAACAAGAAGATGGATTGCAGCTTGTTGCACTTATTGGACACAGAGATGAGAGAATTACCATATACCTCAGCCATATACAGAGATGAGGAGATATTTATACACTTCCATCATATACGAACCTATTTGAAATTCTTCGCAGAACGGTGAACACGAGAAATTAGATATTTATCGTTGCGAAAAGATACAATTTTGTCGAAACTAGCTGCAATTTAGTAAAGATTCGAAATTTATAATGTAATGAAATTGTCTCATTATATTACTACACAGAATAATAGATAAGTAGCTTATTGCCACATTCTGTATCGTCGTAGGCAAAAGATGATAATCGAAAAAAGGAGTGACAACTGGACTGGAACAGCTTATTTAAGCTGTAATTCTGAAACAAGATAAAGATTTACCTATAACGCTCAGAAATCAGAATGCTCAGTTCTTGCAATTATAGCTTAGAAACTTATAAACAATGATGTATCGATATTATAATATACAAATCGAACTGTCTATATTATAATATGTGATTGTGGAGTTTTCTGCAACTGATTGTTGATCTTCTATATCTATACATCTATTTAATGATTAATTCTATGTAATGAATCAAAAACAATTCACAGAACACAATCGGAAAGTTATATGATTTTGTAGTATCCATTTTGACCCCTCTTCCACATCTGTTTCAAGAAAAAAAAATTCAAAAAATAATTCCTGAGCTCTAAGGAGAATTATTTTGATAAGATGGTGACAGAGGGGTGGAATGGATGCTACAAAATCAGACAACTATCTGACGGTGTTCCCGAAGCTATTTAACATCTGTTTCAAGAAAAAAACGTTCAAAAATCAAGAACAATTATTTTGATAAGATGGTGACAGAGGAGTGGAATGGATGCTAGAAAATCAGACAGCTATCTGACGGTGTTCCAGAAGCTATTTAACATCTGTGTTGAATTATTTTGATAAAAGGGTGTTGGAGGGGTGGAATGAATGCTAAAAATCAGAGTTAACCATGAAATTCATAATATTTCCACTTCCAATTCGATTTGAGCGAGTTTTATCGACATGGTGTCTCTTCGGCCTGCCTTTGGAGATCTCATTCGTTGCTAGATGATGTCGCATTGCTGTTTTTTTTTTTGTTGAATATTGAGAATGATATTATGTTCATATCTTTATATGAAGGATAATGCAAATTCTCTACTTCAGAAGATTTTGTTTTCAAATTCTTATCGTGTGTGTTCAATAGATGTTATTCAATGTTCGTCGTGGCATATTGCCAAGAAAATTGTTGTTTTTTGTTGAATAAACCGAGAAAGAATTGATATTTTCATCACATAGAGAATGCTAATTCTCAATGTATTGCTTTATATACATATATATCCATCTTTTATGTTCATAAATATATCTGAGAATATTCCTTTTGAATACCTATTCGATTTTGAAAAAGGTCCGAAAATTCAAGTGAGTGCATACATCCGAACGACAATGGTGAGAAACCAAGATAAATAATCGTTTTCAAATCAACTTCCTACGTTTTTTATAATTGAGTCATGTTATTGATTTTAACAAATTTTCACAGGTGAGCATACTGACCTATCCTTATCTCATCTATATGACGTTACGCCAATGTCGAAATCTAACGTAACCGCTATGATATTGCATAAAGAGCGCAAAATGAAGCTTTCTGTTTTGGAATTAATTCTGTCGTGTAAAACGTGACCGCGATGAGCCTATGCAATGCTATATACATAGACCCATGCATCTAGCATCTATTACCAGATGATAGATGCTACTAGAAAAAAGTGAAAGTTTAGCGGCCGTCGAGTTACACGAAAGGTCGCCGACGACGATAAAATAAAAAGGATACGTTTATTTAAATTATTCATCAGTCATGTAACATGTAATAGCATCCAGTGTCCGTGTAAATTTAATTTTACGATAATTGGTGTATCAGAGTATCAAACACTATAGTACATGGCATCGGATACGCATACCGATAGTATACACGCCTGGCAAATGAAATTTTCTCATTGGAAAACCATCTATTAAAGTGAATACGCTTAGAGATTCATGGGTACCTAATAGAGAGAAAACGACGTGAGCGACGTTGCCATTATACGTACTTAGCTCGTGTGGCAAACATTTTACTAATAAGCGTACGCGAACGTAGTTGAAAGCCAAGGTTTGGCAGTGTTGCTTGGTGTTTCTCTCTATCAGATACCCGTGAACCTCTATGCGTATTCACTTCAATAGATGGTTTCCCCATGAGAACTATGAGAAGATTTCTTTTGCCAAAGGTATATAAATAATTTGGTACTTCAGGAAATAAGTAGTACATATTCTGATGTGCGACGTAGGTACCAAATGAATTGTCCCTTCAAGTTTGGTTCGTACCAACATAATAAAAAATCTTCAAAAACTATTAAGAAACAGAACGTTGATTTTAAAATTACACAAAGTCTTATCTGATTATTGAATGTCAATAATGATTAGGGTTGATCTGTGCATGAAGAGAGAAAATTCGTATGAGGTAAATTCGTTTTCGCTTTATATTTGATTTCTAGGATTCTCTTGAGAAATTGTTCCAGAACGCTACTGGGTAAAGCTAAAAACTGTTTTTTTTTTCACAGAATTATGTGTTTACACCTTACAAGTCTTATGAATATATCTCTGATGTAAGTTCGGAGTTATAAATTTATAAAAAAAATATCATCGTCCTGTGCCTCGAGAAAATAAAAAAAAAAGGATTTATGTAAATGAGGAATTCCCCTATTATTCGATTATGAAGCACCCAGTATAGTCAAATAGTTATGTACTTCAGCAACTAAGTTCAATGACCATATTCAATAGACCTAAATATGTGTTTTCAGTGTCCATAGGACCCTCAATTTATATTCTATAGTTATAGGTATTATGTAAGGTAGGCGCGGGTAATAAGGCCTGTCGGCTAATAAGGCCTAAATGATGAAAATGCAATTTAAAATTGTCGGTGTCGGTCAAGGTCACACTAACAGGTCGCTAACTATCATAGATGACGTCTGAAATCTGTCGCGATGTGTTTGGTCGCTAAGGGCGACCAGTGCGGTGTCAGTCGTTAAAGAGTAGTGGTCGTGTGGCTCGAATAATAAGAATTCGTCCAAATCAATCGTACGTATTTTTTGAAATATTACACTTATTGATATAATTCTGCGTTATAGTTTTCTATTATGTCATGGTTCTGCGATCTTTGATGTTAGAATAATATATCGAGGTCCGAATAATGTTTTTTTCAGATTTCCTTTACACACGTTGTTGGAGGTTATTAAGGCCTACCAATAGAAGAATTAAAAAGACCTCAACCCCCAAAAGTAGAAGTGGTACTGAACAGAACCAGGCGAGTTGGTACTGTCATGTTTGTGAGGAGGAATGGCTGACATGAGACAATGTTCTAAATGCATCAAGTGGTATCACGAGGAGTGCGTCGGTTTGTCAGCGGATGATACAGATAATTTTGAGTGTCCTGAGGGTTGTTAAACAAATACATTTGTTGTTATTTTCAAGACCTCAGCATAATCAATGCATGTTTATCAATTATCGATCTCACTTACCAAATTTTAGGAGCCTGTTTTTATTTTTTATGCATATTACAGTCATAGGCCTTATTATCCTACTATAGTATAATGAGGCCTACTGACAAGGTTTTTAAAAATGTTCAAGCATGTTTTCATTTATGACACACGTTGCCATGTTCTGTTTATTTTTGACAGGATCTGATCTTAAGGTTTAATTAACATTGAAATTCGTTGATTTTGTTGAATAGTTTCCATTTCATTTCAAATCCCCCTTAGCTAGGCCTTATTACCCGCACCTACCTTATTCATATAAATTGAAGTTCCTCAATTCTATGTTTCTTGCATGAAAATTTTTTGCCGAAGTTACAATTAGAAGATATACAAAAATATCAAGAACTAAAAGTTGCAATAAAATGTTTAAATTCGAGAAACATGTGTGAGATTATAATAAAACAATTTCTCTTTGTAATCATTTTTTAAATTCGAAAAAATAAGCCACTTTTCAGCGAATAATTTTGAAGAAATTTACTTGTGACATGTGGTCAGTCACGTGACTTCCCATATGATGCTTACTTCAAGAATACCACTGTATAACATATTCATCCAACATCCACGCCACTGGGTATTTGTTTATAATATCCTAGGACCCTCAATTTATATTCTATTTCATGTATCCATAAAAATGGAAGTTGATCAAATCTATGCTCCTGGTATAAAAAATATCTCTAATTTTCGGCTCAATTATCATTTCTCCGTGCAAGATATAACATATTCCATCCAAGATCCACGTGTACGCCATTGGGTTATGAGATCATAATCTGAGTCATAACCATAATTGTATATTTGTATATCTACTATCTACATCTGCGCATACCTGAATTACATTACCAATATTTTTAATGATTCAAAATTTCCACAGCTTTTGATATGCATGATATAATGTCTTGATTGATATAAGAGGTACCTACGAATCAATTATTGATATTAGATGGTTCTGTTTTGTTCTATTATAAATTCTCTCATCTCTTCATTTCAAGGATTTTTCGAAAGGCGGTATTTAACTACCTATATCTAATACTGTCTAATACTATCTGATTTCGAACCGTTTAAACACCATCAGCTTATTAGTTCTGATTGCTCATATCGCATAGAAGCGAATCATTATAAAGATCAAAGCAACCATTATTATTTATTGAAAGATTCCATCAATCTCCGACCCCCATCAAGCTGAGGAACTTTCTAGGAATTTTTTGCAGGAAACGAATTCGCTTGTTTTATTACCATACTCTGCTGCTAGGCTCCCACGATATTATACAAACGAAAGCTCATAGTGTTTTGTGTTCACATCCTATTGTTATATACGGTGTCTTACGCAGTCTTACATAATCATAATCAACATAATTCATCCTGAATTTAGATGATCTAGCGTGAAATTACATTACCTACATTCAGAAACTGGGATTAAAAAGTGGTTTTCACTTCATGGTGGCAGCTGTGAAAAATCGAATCATAAGATTTGTACATTTTCAATGTTGAAGATGAATCAGGCATGGCAAACCACAAATCCATTTTTCCAAATGGAGACACCCTGTATTTTATATTTCATCTGAAACTACTTTTCTTTATTATCACCACTTAACTGACTCTAAAAAAACAAGGCTTTGATTTCATCATTGCTTACACGACATCTGTAGATTCTAATGAAAGTTGTAATAAAAAAAAAGAAATAGAAGATAACATACTGTTTAAATATAATTCAGAATCACAAAAATTCGCAGATTTCGAAAAAACTATTAAAAGAAGGTGTTTCATTGAGAGAATTCAGCATTCAACTTCGGCATATTGTTTTTAATTTCTCCCTGTGAATTCAATAGATCTACGGTGTGTTTAACTCAAGTGGCGACAATTCAATATTTTTCAACTGATCAGCCAATTTTCGACAGCTTTTTGTTTGAAACACAGTATTCCAAAAGCTCTACATCCTGGTATGCATTATTTTAAAATTAGCCGTCTCCAAGAACCAAATATTAAAATAACAAATTTAATAATAGGTATACAGAAAAAATAACTAAAGCATATAATATTAGATTTCTTGCAAATAAAGAAATAAGTCGATACATCTGGAAATAACAAATTCAAGTATTAATATGTCAACTCATACCAAGTGTTCACAAAAAAAAAATGAAAAATAAACTTCTTGAGCTACTGAGTGTCTTTCAATTATCTAAATTCTAGATTGTCAATAGAATAAGAGTCTAGTATATCAATTCACACAATATCATCCGCATATTTTTTTCTTACCTGCACGAAAGTTGTAAACACTTATTATAAGTTATTCAGGTATAATCAGGTACCCTACTGTTCAAAAACTCTGAACCATAGCAGCTGACTTATTATTCAAAATTTCCGATGTACCAACACTGGCAATTTGAATCATAGTTTTCTTTTTTTGTAGGTTTTGAGTCCAAAGCCCAAAGATATGGTGAAGACGAAGAAACATTCGCTCTACAACGTGCAGAAACTGGTGATGCTAGAATTAACCGTGAACAACAATCAAACACAGTAAACCAGAAGAAAGAATCGACATACTTCAGAACAGTGAAGCAGAAAAAGCCCAATAACAACAATCAAAATACCAATCATAATAACGACCAAAACAACAATAGCGAGAAAGATATCTTCAAAAGTTCCAGCAGCTCTAACTTCTACAACAACCGAAACAACGGAAAAGAAAAGGACGAAGATTACGATGATAACGTGAACATCAATCAGAATACTGATTACTCAGAAAGAAGAAAAGTTGTGAAGAATAAAATACGTAGACCCGTACAAAATAACAACTACAACCAAGACAACGAGAACAGAAACCAAAATAACGACTACAACAGAAACCAAAACAACAATTACAACAAAAACCAAAATAACGACAATAATAGAAACCAGTACAACGACAATACCAGATATCAAAACAACGAGTACAACAAACCCCAAAACAATGACAACAGAAACCAAAACAATGACAATAATAGAAACCAGTACGACAATACCAGATATCAAAACAACGAAAACAACAAACCCCAAAGCAATGACCACAACAGAAACGAGAATGAAAACTTCCAAACCTCTCAGAGGGAACCTTCAACTAGACGCCCAGCTCCAGCTAGAAACACCGGCTTCCAAAACAACTTCGCTGGCAGCAGCTATGTTCCTACCACAGCACGAACCACCAGCACCACTCTCAATGCTGACCAATACACCACAGCCATCCACAACTACAGAACCAGAAACGGACAAAGACAGCGCCAATACACTGACACCGACAGTCCAGTATACACCATCAGCACCCCAGCCCCATTCAGGGGTTCTCAGCAGTACAACCCGCCTCCGAATAGACAGACCAACAGCGGTCGGTACTACAGTACCACTCAAGCTCCACAAAGGAGAACCGAGAATTACCCTCAATCGAAGTCACTATCTGTTGACAACTACGATGTCCCGAAAGTGAAGCAAACCGGTACCACTGCTGCTCAAACTTACAGTACACAGTACGACACACCCAAATTGAAGCCATCTGGCACGACAGCTGCACAATATGACGTGCCCAGAACTAGTTCTACTGCAGCGCAGGCACCCAGTACCCAATACGATACTCCTAGAGTGAAACAAACCAGTTCTCCTACTTATGACGTACCAAGAACTGGTTCTACTCCAGCTCAAACCTACAACACCCAGTACGATACGTCTAGAACGAAGCAAACCTCTAGCACCCCTGCTCAAAGTTACAACACAAACTATGACATTCAGAAAACGAAGCAACCAAGCAGTACTGGACAAAACTTCAACACTCAAACGAAATTCGCTAGTACTACCACTCAGTACGAAGCGACCAAAGTGAAGAGCAGCTACCCTAAGAGTACCATCGCAGCAGAAAACACAGATAATTACCCTGTCAATAACCCCAAGTACAGTACATTCGAGAAAAAGCCAACGACCCCTTTCAAGCAACCTGATAACTACCCTAGTACGCTCAGTCCTAAGCCGTTCAGTCTGAATACCTTCCCTAGTACGTTCGCTCCAAGGACCAACAATGCTTATAATCAGATAGCTCACCAGAGCATCAACTATAACAAGAACGGTGAGAGTACTGGTATTAGTGCTCCAACGACGAGAGCCAGAGAGCAGAGTAGTACTGTGAGGAGTACGCCTTTTACTCAGTACACGCCAACGGTGCCTAGGATCAGTTCTACGACGCCAGCCAGCAGGTGAATTATTTTTCTTTTTGGGGCAAATTAGTACGGGAGTGTTTAGAAATTATCTCAACAATGAATAGGTACAAACTCAAACATTTTAAAAATATTTCTTCATTGCTCCAATGGAATGTTTTTTTTTAAATTTTTTGGTATAAGTTCCTGACAAAGGCGTATCTCAGCATTGTCGTTCTGAATGAAGAACCTGTCAAGGAAGTAACACTACTCAACTGTGTACCATGTTTTTCATTAAGGAGGACGATGTTATCGAGCTCAGAGTATGCCAAATCAGATATGTTCACAGCAGTTGATTGAGAAACAAAAATGAAACAGTTTTTTTGGTCGGTAATTGACATGAAAATGAAATAATTTTCTGATAAAACATGAAAATAATATATTTTCTTTGCAAAAACTGTTCAAATATTAACAAGGGAGTTACAGGATAGCAACTTATGATGGATCACCCTGTACCTACCAGTATTCGCGCGAGCGAAGTCATATAGGTTCTTCGAATTATTCTTCCTCACAAATCCAAAATGAAAGGATGATAAATCACTTAGATCGATGGCGGTAGAAATGATTCAATTTATTAAACTTAGTTATTAATTTGTTTGGTTGAGGATTTATGAGTGATTTGTTGAAGAATTACCTATTATAAGCAATATGTAATAGTTTTGATATTATCAGGTCTCCATTCAAATTAGCGAGATCTTCAGACAATTTATTGGAAATCAAAGTTTTGAGGTAAGCCACATTTTGTTGCATCAACAAAATTAAAGTCATATTGCCCATAATAGTCAAATTTTACTTCATTTTGGCATGACTTCATTCATCTTCATTCATAACCATTGTGCAGTACGGAATGGTAATGATCATTTCAACTTTTCCCAACTCTATAATATATAGGTACCTAATTATTTACTTCTACTATTAAAAATCTTGGCCCATAACCCATACCATTGACGTCAAACGATTATTGTATATGTCACTACCAACTTCCAAATTACCGGCATTTGTTCATTAATCAGAAGTGTTTGAAGTTTCCATTCCAAATATAGTTCTGGAAATTTTGACCATCATGTAAGTCAATATCTTTACAATAACTTAACTTTCAGTTAAGGCGGAAATATTACATGTTGTATTATTTTGAAAGAAATCGCATGAAATTCTAATACTAATTCCCAACTGTTTTTGAATTATTTCGATTTTTGTGGGACATTTTGTATTTGCACTAGTATCGTCAACTTCAAATTTTCGACATTGATTCCAGCATTCTGAATGGAGTCTCAAACATCAAAATTTGAAGTCTGGTCTCGTTTTTCCGTTTTTTCTCTAAAACGAAGCGTTCTATCGAGTATCAACAAGAGGATCTTTTTTGTACATAATTGAATAGCTTTTCATAGCATTGTATGAAATTTGAAAATTTTTCGTCGTTGCTCACTTTTAGGTAAAATAGAAACAATAATATTCTCGTAACGGTGCCACTGGTAGAGAAAATGAAAATTTTTGCTGCACCTTGATGTATAAAAGACGTGTACCAAATTTCAAAAAGATGTATTGAATATTGTCTCAGTTATCATCAAAATACTGAATATTCTTCAAAACTTCATCACCCTGTATCTCAAAAGTTAAGACTTTTAGGACATAAGTGCACGTCTTTAAGGAACACCCTGTATCTAATAATTATTCTGGTGATCTGACCTAGGTCGAGCCGTTTCGACGAGACCCAGTACGACGACGGCTCCTACAGCACCAGATACGACTACGACACCGACGACAGACGCGACGACGAATTTCTGAAAACGGCTCACAGCCAAAACATCGCGGCTAGCCGCAACCAACTGGCACACACCACCAAGGCGCAGGCGCAGCGTTCCGACGCGCCTCGCCCGTTCTCGGCCACGCCGAAGGCCACCGAAGCTCCCCGAGCGATAACGAAGGCGGCCGAAGTCCCGCGAGCAGTTACGAAGGCGGCCGAGCACGGTAACGGCGTTAGTACTAAGAAAGCCAAGGACGTGAGTTACGATTACGCGTACTATGACTCTCACACCGATAGTGGGGAGCCTGATTATGATATCGCGACGGATATCAAGAAATCTACTGTGAAGAATTGATTGGGATTAGGTACTTTTGTATTTCAGTCTACATTTTGAAAATTACTGTATCATCGAAATATCATCATTCAAATCAAGACTTGTTGTTCGTTCGGATCATAATGATTTATTTTTCAGTTATTAGTAGTTGAGTTAAGGAATATAAAAAGGGGGAAAATGTTTCAAAATATTTCGAATTTGCTATTATGGGGTGTAAAAATGAACTGCTCACCTTTGAACGTCCAAACTAGACTTTCAAAAACCGGCTAGAAATATTTGTCAGTACTTATTTGTTGTAAAATAACAAAGGAAAAAATTATAAAACAAATCACTATAGAACCTACCTTGAAATTAATTTCGAAACATTGGAAATTTACTACTTCTTATCATAACACATCAAAAAATATGCATATAATTTATCGTCGTCAAGATTATTTGAAGGCCAGTTCGAGACAAGAATCATCATTTCATCAAGAATATCATCACTTTGCAAATCTGTTGAGTGTTTGTTTCTTTCATTTAATCTGAGTTTAATGAACCAAATTTATCTTATTACTAATGGAAAATTCATTGAAAATTTGAAGGCAAACCATATTTTTTTGCAAATGTTTTCATATGGACCATTAAATATGCTGAGTATTACTGACACACTTGTCTAAATGAAAATTGTAAGTTTTATAATTCCTATATTATGTATAATGTGCCCATAGTTATAGAATTGTATGAGGGTACCGAATATACTTGAACAATTTATTTCATTTTACTTCAATTATTTATTTAATCAAAATTAATTTTGCAATAGAATTGGAATTGAGTATAGGTACCTACTTGATTTCATAAAAAGAAAATGGAATGAATGTATGGTAGGTACATAAAAAAATTGGAGTATAATATACACTATTAATTTTTGAGAATATGCTGAAATCTCCTACTGCCAAATTGTGTAGGTTGGTATATTTTCATGTAGATGTAATATTGTTTATGGATGTGTCTGTTGAGTATTTTTTTTTTTTTGAGAAATGTTTATGAAAACAGTCCTTGTAAATTAACAGACCATGAATGAGCTTTCCCATATCATTATTTAATGTTGTACATATTGTATTTTATTACATTAAAAGTATTGTTATTGATTCTTATTTTTTTCCTACTGACTAGGGCTGTGCAAGAATATCAATATATCCAAGAAAGATCCACTCAAAGATCCAATAAGGATATCATTAAAAATATAGATAGATACATCGTTATGCGATATACATCAATGTATCGATTAATTGATATTTTTTGTTGATATGGTTATTCGATATACCGATATATCAAATAACGATATATATATCATCATAAAGATATGGATTGATCGATATATTGTAGCACGACCATTTTGTAGCGCTCCAGGATTCATGATCAAATCTACTATTCTTTGATTATGCACTCTGGCAGAGATTCTGAAAATTTCAATTTAAAATAACTGTTTCTAAAATGTGTGAAACGTCACTTGTCATTGTCCGTATGTAAAATGTAGATATCCCGCATTTTACAATTTAAAATTGTTACTGCCTATCTTCCTAATGGTACGCCCACGGTATACTTGGCAGGGCCAATCATTAAAATAAAACAATGTTTCTTCCTTTTGTTTAGGCAACCAGTACTACCGCATTAAACATGGTCCGTTGCATACGCGTCAGGTTCATAATTCCCATGTTTGTACCCAGATCTTTTTTGCGGCCTGATTCGAATCGCCTATCAATCGAATGTGTATAAAAACCTTATAAAAACTAGTCCTTGCTCGATTTGAGGAAACTCTTTCGAGATTTCAGAGAAAGTGGGCGACCATTTGCTTTTTGGACTCGTCACATGTCCCTAACTGCACACTAACATTTTTGCAATAATTGATGGTTTTTGAACCTTTTGGGTTTGTTCAACACCAAAATTCTTTGTGTTGTCGCCTGGTCAAATTTCAGATTTATTGTGAAAATAAATAAGGCTAGTCTGCATCACTTCAAATCTCTGGGTTTTCATTTCTTGGGCACTGAACCCGAGACAGCCAGAACCCCAATTCTGCGCCCTGAGATTAAGCTTCGTCACAATATCGATACCAAAGCATACATCGATATTTATATAAAGTTTTCAATATCGCACAGCCCTACTACTGACTATGGTAGAAGAAATGGAAAACCCATTTTCACAATTTTGGTGAGAGGCATCACCTTTAAAAATTACATGTCTTCAGCCTGATACAGGATGTCCAGAGATAAAACCGACAAAACTCATGGGGTTATAGGGCCTGCCAATCAAGCCGAATGAATACTATTGTTGTTAATATTGATATTATTCAGGAAGTATTTCTCTAAATGATCAGAAAATTCTATGCAGGTAACGATTAGGGCGTGAAAAATCTGCTTTGCTGCACTTTGAGTGGGGAATGGACCGTTACCATCGAGACTATACAGGTGGTTAACGAATGGACGCGCTCGGTAGTTCTTGGAGAACAATAGGCCTGAAAATTCCATATAGTTTCCATTAGCTTTCTTGACTTGTCTGGTTGGTAGACTCTGGCGCGACAGACAAAATTTCCAGTGTTTATCTAGCCTAGTTTATTTAAAATAACAGAATGGCTCTAGGAGGGGCGATCGCCCCTATCGCCCCCCCTCTGGATCCGCCCTTGCTGCCAATATGATCGCAAAATGCCATATACAAATGTCCAAAACAGCTTCATTACTAAAATACAGACTAATTTGTGGATTCTGACAAAAAATTCAATCTGTCATATTAAACAAAGGAATTACCGGATTGGATTCAACCTTTGAACGACACAAAATCCTGCAAATAATTTATTACTATGTCTTCTGAATCAAACTGCCCCTTATCGAGATATGATGCAATATTATTATACCTAATGGACATAAGAATGGATTGAGACAGATAACCCAGCGAGCACAAACATCCCTGGGATGTTTTGAAAATGTTGGCATGAAGATGTTATTTTGAGACGTAATATGCAGTGACCAAAGAGGTCTTTGAAGGATATTGAAGTATTGTTTTTGTTCTTCTGTGGCATTTCTTTGTTTGCCTACTGAGAGGTATCCCTGGGATGTTTTGGGATGTTTTAGAAATGTAGGCATGAGGATGTTTTTTTGAGGCGCAATATGCACTTCTCAAAGAGGTCTTAGAAGGATATTAAAAGTATTGTTTTTGTTCTTTTGTGCCCTTTCTTTGTTTGCCCCACCACAACGTCTCATGCTTACGTCACAATACGATGAATTCTGATTTGTTTTCGATTTTGTTCTTCTTGTTCGCAATTGGCATTCGCGTTTGCAGCGTGTCACGCTTACATCACGCTGCTAACGAACAGAAAGGAATTTGGTGAAGTTTATTGTGTTAGAACACTTATTTAGTTTGTAATAATGACCATCAGATGCAAAATGTGTTGTTCGGTGCCTCAGTGTAATCAATATATAAAAGTACGAATTCATCAATACACAGCTTCTCCGCAGTTGCAAAATTATGCATTTTGGAGAACATTTCAAAAATTGGGAAACCTATTTCCAATTATATGTCTGTGTGTAGTAAGCACTACTCAGAAACCGATTAAGAAGGTAATTTCATATCAAGAAAATATTTTTAAGTTCAATCTATTTTAAATGCATTTTTTCATTCAAGAGAAATGGAATTCTAATGCAAAAGTTCATCTTGACAAAAGGCTTCAGAAAAGTACCTCGAAAATGGTTTTTTTACAGCGATTTAATGTGCGCAAGACGCGTTGAAAATGTTCTGTTGTGTCCATGAAAAGGCTTTAAAAAGAACTAGGGAGAAGGTAGTATTGTGACATATCAAGGACATCTCGATAATTGCCGCCTGCGGCGGACATTGGCTGTTCTATAGTTCTATTCATGTGTGAACAGATCATCGCAGTGGAGGTTCAATGTCTCCAAATCTCTTACTTTTAACATCTCTGAGATGTTTTTGTGCTCGCTGGGAAGTGATTACTGACTATATACCATGCCGAAAACGAGACAAAAACTCCTTATTCATGAGTTAGAACACACTAGAAAAGTTCGAAATTCCGAGCTCATTTCAAACGTACCATCATGGCCACCATTTGGTGATACGTCGAATAAATAGTGACGTTAGCTTTTATGCTATCTCATAATTGGTCAGATAATCTTCCATTAGCACTCACGAAGCAAGGTTGTCAAGTCACCAATTATAATTGAGTTATCAAAAAGATGTAAGTCCTGTCATTGAATAAAACATAATAGGAGGAACCCATGATATTACCAGTTCATTCATGACTTCTTTGAGCAACCAGCATGTCCAAATATTTCCTATACTCCATAACAAAATATCATGTAAATGTTGGAGACTTGGCAACATTGTGCTGAATGCTAAGAAGGGACAAGACCACGCCCACAATTCGTGCGCGCCGTGTTGTCACGTTCACTGCTTCAAATGTCCTCTAGTGTGAATCAATGTAATTACTATTGACACAAATGTATTATAAGCAACAAATCATAATGTTACATTTTGGGACAATTGATTTTTTCTTGCTAAATAGCAATATTACCAATACATAATTGAGAATTTATTTATGTTTGGATAACTAATATTTCTGAAGTTCCCAGTCACATATGGCAAATGTGCTATGGTCTGTCCCTACTTATGAAATCATGATGTCAGTTTTTACTGGCTTAGAATTAATATCAGTTTGAAAATTACAATGGCATTATTGATGAATTTAGCACCTAGATATCGACCAAAAAATTCTTCAAAAGTATGAAATTGAAAGGTATTTGAGTGATGAACTATTGAAAAAATAAAAAAAATAGATTTTGAAAGAACCACACCTGAATGAAAAATGGAAAACTTTAAACAGAGCTTTAAATATTTTTAACACACCTACTAGTAGGTACATGCAAAGGGGCTAAAATGTATAGTTAGAAAGGCAGTTTACTTCCAAACAATACATTTCAGACATTCATCAAAATAGAAGAAAATGGTGGTTCACCAGGTGGTTCATATACCTATTGCTGTGCACATCAACTTTTAGACTAAAACTATACTGACCATATACTGACTGTTTGTAAAAATATATTGTACCTTCATCTAAAACTAATGTACTTACATATTGATATTGATATCCATTTTAAGGTGGTGCCTATGCCAAGGCAATATACAGTGGAAATTTTATCTTCAATTTGAAATCATAAACCAGCATAGGAAAGGAACAGGAAGTAAAAAGTACTTATTTATATTATACTCACATATATTTCATCATTTATTGCCATCTTTCAACATTTCTTCAAACAGTCTGATAATATCTCTGGCATATGGTCTATCATCTTTATTTTCTGCAGTGCAACAAAAATACAACTCTAGCACTAAATTGTACTCCTTTCCCAATTCAATATCAGGCAGTGCTGGTCTCTGCCTGACATTCATACTTTTTGGCATCTCAATAGACTCCTCTGAATCTATGGATTTGTTGAAACTATCTAAAAGTTCATCATCTATTGGTGGACAAAGAGCAATCATTTCCCACATCACAAGCCCAAAGGCATAGATGTCAGCTTTCACTGTGATCACTTGTGGGAAGTTTATAACTTCAGGAGAACTCCAGCAGGGAGTTCCAACATACTCAGCTTCTTCCCCAGCTTTGTCCAGATCAATCTCCCCATTTTTCATAAGTGGTAAACATACTCCAAAATCACATAGCTTGCATATGGAAAAATCTCCTTTCACCAGTACATTGAATGACTTTATGTCACAATGGAGCAACAACACATCATTGTGCAGATAATCCAAGGCCTTGGCAATATCATGAGCCACTTTGAGCACAATTTCAGCTTCATATGGAACTTCTCCCAAGTGATCAACTCTATTTTCAATCATATCACCCAGGCAACTTGTACATTCCTCCATAGCTAAGACCATTGACCCATCAGGGTCCTTTAGGAGAGCCCTGAAGCCTACTATGTTGGGGTGGTCAAGCTTTCTAAGGATTTCAGCTTCTGCTTGGAGTCTCTTATCAACAAACTTTGCAGTTTCTTCTTTCTTGTGTCGCTGGGTGAGTTTTTTGATTGCCCATGGAGAGCGAGTTCTGTCTGAGAGTGGTGATCTTTGCATTTCATAAACAGCAATTCCTGCA